TCGCGTAAGCTGCCACGCCATGCAGCATCCGACCAACATTACCCAATCATCGCCACCGATACGTCTGCTGAAGCCCTTCGTAGGAACAGAGGCCTCTACGACATCGGCGTCAGCAGGATTTTGTCTTGGGGGGCATGCGAACCCGTGTTGCATCATGGGATATGGTGGGAAGGAGCGCTGTTGTGGCGTGGGTGGGGGCAGGTGCTGGTGTGGCAAAGAAAAAAAGGAGGGGGGAGTTGCAACAGCCTCTTTCCCACCCCCCTGCAGACGACCGTGCTGCCCGAGAGATCCAATCTGTTCCATATACCTCTTCCCAACAAAAATGATTGTAACATTCCTCCGCATTCAGAAGCTGTGTAGCTAAGATATTTATGTGGGTTTAAACGTCCCGAAACCACGACATGATTATGAGAGACGCCGTAGTAGAGGGCTCCGAAAATTTCGACCACTTGGGGTTCTAAACGTGCACCCAGATCTGAGCACACGGGCCTACAGCATTTTCGTCTACATAGAAAATGCAGCCACCACAGCCTGCATTTGATCCCACGACATGAGGGTCAGCAGCCGAGTACCTTAGTCACTAGACCAACGCGGTGGGGCGACACAGCTTACTTAAGTAAGGTTGGTCTTGTGGAACAAAATTAGTCGGAGCCATAGGTAATACGACTTCTATAAGAGAAGAAATAAGAAAGATCTGCCGTAGCAGTAAAGTTGGATGGGAACTACACCAGTACGTGATACTTAAAACTGGGCATTACATTATAAAACCAACACGACCAGTCTCTGGAGTTCTTGAAGGGGCCATGCAACACTTCTACAAGTAATCGTAGAGTGACCTCACAGAGCTTACAGCACCACAGAGAGATTACCATCAGTAATGTTTGAAATCCATCGTGTGCTTGACATGCCTATTTTCTTCTTCCTTCCCGAAGAACACGCTGGAAACTACACAGAGGTAGAGTTACTGTACACAATACCTACCTGTAATATAGTAGTCGCAATGTCTCTAGAATATACCAATAATAAAAGACAAGGAACGAAGCGCCACCGATGCTCCCGGCGCAGCGTACACGAAAGCGCCACGAACGCGCTCCGATGGACTGCAGAGCCCCCTGCACGTGCATCTGCGGCACCGAAATGGTCTTGCATAGGGACAGCGCGGAGATGGCAGACTAGCCAGTATATTCTAGGGACCATAATAGAGGTTCATCCTAGCCCTTTTTATATTCTGTACAGGCTACCTTGAGTGGGCACATACAGTCTCTGTACCTTGGTAACGTAATGCAGGGCCGGATTAACAGGGCGGAGGGCCTGGTACAAAAAAATAGTGAGGGCCCCTCCCCCCTCACTCGCCCTCTTCCTATCCCACTTTGTCATCTGGCCATGCTGAAGACTTTATGCTTTTTTTGAGACTTAGCTGCAAAGAACACAAGCCATATTTATTCTAAACCTCTGCAGAGTGTTTAATATCACTTGGGCGTTCTATTTCTTGCAAAGCACCTGGACATATTGTCATCCGAATAAATAAATAAATATATCAGGAGACGAAGACACATGGACAGCATCAAGATTTGCATGGTACGTTGGATCACACTGAAAGAAGACTAAACTGTGCGAGGAGTTAAGAGTAAAAGAAGGAATGCATTTGACACTTAGAAGTGCAGCCTAAACACTGTGCGCGTTGCTTCTATTAATCTTGGCCTATGGCATTGCTTACCTTTATTTCAAGATATTTATTTTTCCCTCGAAAATCAGGGAGCACCTTTGTGAAAAATAGCTTTCTCTATATGCTTAAGCTTCACTGATTGGGTTGCGAACACTTTGGTTGACTGTGTGTGCCCACTGCTTAAATTGACAGGTGGGCCTTTTTAAGAAACTGTTCGCATGTACTTACAATAAACATGCCACCAACCGTCTAGCTATTTTTGATTTCATACAACAACACATATTTAAGCTCTTCTCGTTATAGTGATGTGATGCATAGAGTAAATGCCTACTGATCACAAGTAATACAGATGTTTTAAATAAAATATTTTCAGTACAAGAGGGGGGTCGGCCAAATTTTCTCTGGAAAAAGTGGCACCGATTAAAATTCATATCAATGTATACCTCTCACAGAAACGTTTTCATCAGCACTAGAAAAATGAACCAACATATTTTTATATATGCAAGAATTGCTGGATTCTAAACATGTAGTAAGGTTAAATTTTTGCAGGCAATACTCACTCTCATAGGGCTATAGGAGAAGGAAACAAATTGCAGACACCTTTTCTGTGGTTCCAGCAAGAGGGCTAAACTTTCCTGAACAAAACAACGAAGACAGCCATTTTCTCTGGCCCGTTGCGGTACCCCTAAAACCGGAGGGGGAGGCTCATTTGAACCCTGAATAATCTATCCCTGACTGTATGAGTAACTCCACGCAGAGAGGGAGGACAGCGGGTGCAAGAGAGCAACGTCAGGACACGATGACGACGTCAGACCAACCAATGACAATTTGCTGAGAGAAGAGCGAGTGCTTTATATCTCTCTTTTAAATGTAATTTTCCCGCTGCCTGTACTGCTACGATAGTTGCCTGACATGTTCAAAAGAACCTGGACTTTCGACTATAGCAGCCTTTCGTGACTATGTTCACAAAGCACTTTAGAGTCTCCTTAATACTTCTGTACTTGCCAAGCCAGTCGCCTCCACAAACAAGCCCACAACCACAGAATATAACAAACTTTGTTGAGCAGCCAGAAACTAGAAAAAAAGACAAAAATGGGAGATAAAAAGTGACAACAATCAGCTTGGGCAAAATCGGCACGTTGATCGTCCTGAAAATTTCTCCCAATTTTTTTTTTTCATTTTCGTGCTGCTCAATGGCGTGACACATCAACTTGCAAATATAATCCCACCATATAAACTCAGACCTTCTGTAATAAGTAACATTTTGGTTAAATGAGAACCAGTACGAATGACTGCAGTGTGTCCTCACGGGTACATAAAAACCCACCATAAATACATATTAACTGTGCTTTGTTTAAAGCTCGTACTTGCAGAGATCAAAACCTATTTGTAGTGTACATAGATACAATCGTTCGTTACTGCTCTTGTACTCTTTTTAGGCTGTGAACAGAGCATGAGGTCAGCCAGGTATCTTTCTTTTTTTTTTACTCAATGTAATTCAAGAATGCGCAGCTGACACTGCTTCCTCAAAGGCAGGAACCTCTATGGCGACTGCAGAAGGCCAAATTTAATAAATCACTGCTTTTGTATGTTAGAAGCTAGAGCTTGTGAAGCCATATATTGGTGTTTTTTAACAGATAACCTACGAAGTTGTAACCATTTTGTTTTTCACACGCCATCTTCGCACAGGTCGTCATCACATGCAGTATTAGTACGAGCATCATAAGTATGAGTAGTTTCAAAACCTATTTTTAATGTAGACTTACGAGCACTACATCCCCGCGAGCACTTGCGAAGTTGATCATTTGTTCGTTGTTCTATACGTTTGTCTTTATGAAACCAATAAAAAGCATTTACTTTCAACCGTCTTTGAAGGTCTCCCTTCCCTACATTTCCATGTTAGATGAATGACTGCTCCGTTGCTAAGAACAGACCAACGTGTTTTCATGGAGGTATTTGTCACAAAGACTTATTACAACTACTATGAGGTACTGGCACTATGCCACTAATACTTTAAACAACGAGATGCAAATGGATGACTCCCTCCTTGTCTTTGTGGCATGCCTCATTGTGCAGTAACAGTCTTACACAAGGTTAATTGGCTCTGTGTAGGTGCCACTCATCCCGTGGTTGGGAAGGCAATCGCCGGGCAGTTTCCAAGGTCTGACGTATACGTTGGGCCCCCGAAAACGCGCCATGAAAACTTGGACAGTTTAGATGGGTCCCCTTAATGCGCCAGCGAACGCCGATTGTTGTGCAAAGACAAAGTCCGAGCCAAGAGTTGACAACAAGAACAAAAATATATTCTTAGTTAAGGCAGTACGATTTTTACTAACACCTATGTACAGTATGGTCCACTTTAAAGGGAACACTCGAATGCACACCATCAATATTCCTGGCTCTCTAAGAGTAAATGGATTAAGAAACAATCTTCATGCAAGTCAATAGTCTGTCAAGAGGAGTCGGAGCATTTAACCAACTGTAGTCTTATGCAAATCTCAGCCGCTACGATTCCGTAAGACAGTGAAATCTAAGCATGCTGCTCACGCAGGTGTTCTCTTTAACAGTGGACCCGTCTGTACACGCATGCACACTCTGCTTGTTAATTCCCTATATAACTCAGATGGCGTTTAGGACAATGGGAACAATCAAACTAATTGTGCTACAAATGCAATCTCAAGCATTACATACAACACCTCGAGAACACATAAGGTCTCGAAATATTCACCAATCATGCAATCCACGAGTTCATGAAAAATGTCAGGAACACTTCTCTTCAAGAAAACATGGCAACTCAGAAGCTGGTTGTTGGTCCCTGGACTTTTCTTGCTGCTTTTCACCGACCCCCATCTTTCTGTTGCCACCCGCGTATATGAGGCCGCATTCGAGTCCGAGAATATTCCACATTGTTCCCGTGTGCACTGCACAACGAAAGCCAGGGATTGTACTTGATTTTTCTAACACGTTCTACTACGCAGAGGGACGCACGCCGGTGGCAGCAGCGTTAGCTACTCGAATTCTCGCTATGTTTCCCAGTGTTCACTTTACCGGCATGTACTGTTTGTGGAAGAGCTGAAATGGTGTTCGCTTTGGTAAAGTGATCGTCGCTGGCACCTTGAATCGCGGTGCATGACTGGCCGGCGCAGTCTTTTTTGACGCACTCCATTTGTAACAGTTGTTGTGTGTAGGCAGGCAGTGCCATGGACTAGAGTTACTGTATATGTTCCCTGTGGTAGCATATACAGGAACAATATTATGAACGTGCGGACAGTTTGCTGTGTAACACTAGTGGCTCCCCCGAGACACTCAAAGATGCAAGAATGCCTGGCATTCG